GATCATCCACGGGACGCCCTCGGGCATCGACAATTCCATCTGCACATACGGCGGCGCAGTCAACTTCAAGGGCGGCGCCAGCACGCCCGTTGAAGTGCCTCCTCTGCGAGTGCTGCTCGTGAACACGAAGGTGCCAAGGAGCACCAAGGCGCTCGTCACGGGCGTCCGCGAGCGTCGTGAGCGGCACCCGAGTGTCATGGACCCGATCCTGGACGCGCTGGACTCGCTGGCCGAGCGAGGGATCCAGGCGCTGCACGACCTGGCCTCGGCCGCCAGGGACCACGACCGCGCCGCCGCCCACGAGACCATCGGGGAGCTCGTGGAGGTCAACCACTCGTTGCTGTGTGCCCTGGGCGTGTCGCACCCGAGCCTGGACCGCCTGGTGGGCCTGGCGCGGGCGAACGGCCTCCGGGGCAAGCTGACGGGCGCGGGCGGCGGGGGCTTCGGGATCGTGGTGGAGGGCCTCTCCGACGGGGAGGACGTGGCCAAGTGCTGCCACGATCTCGAGAGCCACGGCTACCAGGTGTGGCGCACGTCCCTCGGGGCGCCGGGCTTCACCATCCACCACGCGCAGTAACGGCATTTACTTTGGTTTCCTAGATATTGTTTTAGTCATGACACTCTTGATATTATTACCAAGCATTGAGTAGAACTGGATGTAATCCTGTTAGTGGTTCCCAAGTGAAAGGCTTGACCATGTCTGTGATTAGTAAATATTTCACGATTTAGCACACGAAGGCTGTATTTTGAATTTAGGTCTGTGCTTGACATTTCGTTCGCTTTCGGCGATACAAAATACTCCTGTTACAGCATTTACATCATTTGTTATTGTAATCATGTCATTTATTTTAATAAATGATCCGGGCATGACAAGAAGTCTTTTTCTCACTGCCAAATGACGAAGTTTTGTTATAAGATTTGTGTTTGTAAGAAATACTACTATTTTTTACCAATTTTAGAGAACTATTCCAGCAGTTGATCTACATAAAAGCAAATTTGAATATACTGCATTGCATGTAGTTGTCTTTTTTCAACAGCTTTTAATCGTTTGTCTGTCTCATGAAAAGGTACCACAGTGCATTAAGTAAATTTAGTATTTTCATTATTATATTTGGTATTAACAGTAGCTAACTAGTAGTTTCTTGCTAGTTTACAACTAAATTTAAGCCACTTCAAAGGATTCAAACGACTGTGATCCATTCATACATCAGCGCTGTCTGTAATACTTTATTTTCCTTATTTAATTTTGTCTGCTTTTGGCCAAACTGATCCTCGGAAATCCACTTTACAGAAATCATGAAATTCAAATGCATTTTGTACCTGTTTGGGCTTCTTGTGAAAATGGGGTCACCACTGCATCTCCAGTAGAGAAAAGTTGTCCCTGTCTGCAAGTGAATCGGATAAGTTGACACTGTGCCTGCTGCCAAGTTATTACCGAGTATTAAGCTTATCGTGTGAATCTGTTAAGTCGTTTTTTGTGTGGATGTGACTTGCTCTTTGCTTCTGTGACTATTTCAGTTTGTCTATTTATTTATTTGTTCCTTCGTAAAATTTGTAATAGCAGCATGATAGGTCATTCATTTCATAGCTTATCGCACGAGAAAGTTGATCATTAAAGTGTTTTTTTTTTTTAGTTCAGCACTCTACTATACTCACCAAATCGTTGTTTTGATACCCGTCTTACATACTTCCGCCCTTGCTGAATTTAACCCATTGCCGCCGGGGAAATGAACAAAAAATGGGGGAAATACAGGACTCATTTTTTATATTTATGTGAAATATGTCTGTCCATAGATGGCTCTGCTAGTCCTGATTTCACCTTTCCTTGAATTGGCGGGAAACAACGTATTCTTACTAGTGCTATAAATATAGATGGTGTTATTTTTAACAGCAAATTAGGATAACGTTAAATATTTTCGCAAATCGATGAAAAGGGTGAACGGGCGAGACAGGCGGTGCTCGTAATTGGCTCATTTGATACTTAGTACAAGTGTAGCCATCTATGTGTAAAAACAATCGCCCAAGTCGGCTCGCAGTGGGCATGACATGTACGTACATGCCATCACCGGCGGCAATGGGTTAAATTACACCAGCTTTTCTGTTAAGTTATGCACCATCTGGCAGTGTTTCTGTGGGACCTTGCGCTGAATTGTTAGGTGCTAATTTGGCTCTAGTTTGTCGCCAGCTGTCAAGGCCTTAAGAACTACTTAATGGTAGCTTCTGGACAGTTATGAGGCTTTTCCTAAGGACCTGTGTATGGGAATTAAATGGGCGTCATGGATTTTTTTTTCTGTTTCATTTTCTGTCGTTTTAGTCTGTGGATTGACTACCGATCTCGGAGGGAGCGATACTAGCCCTTAATGTATTATTACCATACACGAAGAATGTTTTTGAAGCCTCGACTCCAGGTATCCATAACACATATCTCCATGACACATATATCATGTACTCAGACGAGGTCGAATAAAAGTAACTCCAGTAATGATCTTAAATTAGATGACCTCATAAATGTATCTTGCGCGTTCTTTCATTCCATTTTCTAATCAGAAGTATATCTGATGTACCCACCAAAAAAAAGGCATGATCGATAACCGGCCATTCCTTTCTCGTTTTCTCTCGGTGTTAGTCATTTTTTTTAACCTTTTCAGGGCCAGGGGGGCGTGGGGGGCGTACGCCCCCCCCCTATTTTTCGCAGAGTAATGATTTTTTTAGACCAGGAATTTTTTTACACATCATCAGGGAAAGACGTGGGATATAGGTAGGAAAAGTCCCAGTCTGCAATACAAGGAATAATTGATAGAAACTTTCTATCCCGCTTCGGCTTCGTGCCTTCGGCACTCGCAATCGTCTCGGCTATGGGTTACGCCCCGCCTTTCTAACAATCCTGCTTTTGTTGGTATCAAAAACCGAGAAATTTACACCAAAATCTATGATGGTGAGAGTTCTTAGCCCCGGCCATACCTTTATGCTAAACTGCTTGAGTGGCTGCTAAATGGAATATATTTGTAACCAAAAAAACCGACCGTGTTCGTCAGTGATTTTTTTATATAGTTGAATAGAATTTAATGAAACAACGGCATCAAATAAAGAAGAGAAATGATAAAAGTAATAAGCAGATCATAAAATACAAGGTTTAAAGGGAATGGAAAATACACAATACTGAATGGGACAGATATAATTGAACTTGAGCTGAAAAGCGAAACATAGAATATTTCTAGAATAGCACGCACACATGTGTGCTATTCTAGATATATGTGTGGATTTACGTATACACATATATATCGGTACAAATAAATAAATACATATGCGTACACACACACACACACTATATATATATATATATATGTAATATATATATATATATAATATATATATATATATATATATATATATATATTACATATATATACATATATGCATATATATATACATATAGATAGATAGAAAGCTGTAGATATAGAAATAGATACATACCTTTACCTAGTACAAGTCTCTCTCTCTCTCTCTCTCTCTCTCTCTCTCTCTCTCTCTCAAATATATATATCTATATATATATATATATATATATATATATATATATATATATATATATATATATAATTATATGTAATTATGTATAATTGTATATAATTACATATATACAATTATATATATATTATATACATATCATATATATAAACAATATATATATAATTATATATGATTATATATACATAATTATATGTATAATTATATATATACATATATATAATTATATGTATGTATATATATATATATACATCGGCGTAGGGGCATTTAAGATTTAGGGGGGGCTGCAGATTTTCTGCCCGAGTGAAAGAGGAAGATAAATTTCTCCTGCCAGAGAATTTGTGATGAATGCCACCTGTGGCATAGATAGGGGGGGGGGACCCACCTATACGGCTAAACTGCCGTTTTGTCGGAAAATTTCTGCACTTGTCGGAAAAATATCGATGGTTTTCTGTTTCGTTTAGTTCTATTGGCCTTATGTTATGTTCAAAATAATAAAAAATGAGAATTAGTGTCAATTTTTATCGGGATATCTTTCTCGCCCCCTCTATGAATTTTCCTATCTACGCCCCTGGCCACGGGGTCCTGTCTATATTATATGCTGATAAAAAGGAAACACGTCTACTTTTTCGCACAGATGAAAGGCCTCAGTGCGCTAAGAAAAGATTTCTGTTTTTTTTTAAATCCCCTTCTTAAAGTATCTATGTTACATTAATATAACTTTTTACCAATATCTTTTTCGCAAAATGGATAATTTACAATTTCTATGCCCATTGCCCAAAATTGCCCGAATTCAACCAGCATTTACCCGACTGGCTCCTAAGCCTATGCATATATATCGAGGCACGGAATATTCCCAGTTTGATCCCTATCATCCCCCCCCCTTCTTTCCAGTACTTTGGAGCTAATCTCACAAGACTAACCTGAAATTTTCTTTTAAATAAATAGAGACAAATTTATTAATATTAACAATGAAAAAAAAATCAAAATGTATCATTTACGAAGCTTAAAAAAAAGAAGAAAGTACTCTAATTAGTACTATAAGTACTATAATTACTATAAAGTACTATAATTATATATATAATTATATACCGGTATATATTGTATATATATAATTATATATATATGATTATATGTGATCATATATATATATATATAATTATATGTATGATTATATATAATTATACATATATGCATATATATATATATATATATATATATATATATATATATATATATATATATATATATATATATATATATATATATATATATATATATATATATATATATATATATATATATATATATATATATCGAGGCATGGAATATTCCCAGAGTTTGATCCGTATCACCCCCCCCCCCTCCCCTTCTTTCCAGTACTTTGGAGCTAATCTCACAAAACTAACCTGGAATTTTCTTTTAAATAAATAGAGACAAATTTACTAATATTAACAATGAAAAAAAAGTTTTCAAAATGTATCATTTACGAAAATTGAAAAAAAAAGAAGAGAGTACCCTAAGCAGTACTAATTCCCGAATCCTTGAAAGTGAAAATCTTTACATCCCAGAACAACATATACTCCCCTACATAACCCAAACCAACCCAATTATAAAACACATCCTATTTTCGAATAGATATAGCATATTAGGACCATATTCAGACCATAAATATAATAAAATACCAAATAAGACACTCGCTACTACGTAACCCGGAAAGAGCGAGTCGAAGTCCCTGAGGCGAAGAGAGTAGACGCTTATCTTCCGCTCCTGAAAATTTTCTTTAAAAAACCTTTAAAAGTAAGTGAATTTTCGATATTTTCCGGTCCTTTTTTACCAATTCCGAGTCAGCAGGTTGCGAAGAAGGGCGAGAGGCGAGGGAGAGGACCTGACACTCGTTTCAGAAGCAGGAAAAAAGGTTTAAATAAAGTTTTTTTTTTTTAGGCTCTGTTGCTAGGTAGGCCTATGTTTTCGTGGCGTTTATTTCTTTTATTTATTTATTATTTATTATTTACTTTTTATTCATTATTTTATTTAATTTATTTCGTTTTGTCTGAGAGGAAGTATTTGAAATCATTTTGAGATTGTTATATTTTTAATGATTATGATATTATTATTATTATTAGATTATTATTATAATTACGTTATTATCATCATTTTTTATTTCACTTTTTTTAATTTTTTTGAGGAATTCTTTGAAATTACTCGATTATCTTTTCTTTGATTAATATTCACAGAAACTCACAAGAAAATAAAATTAAGAAAATAAAAGTTTCTCAAATTCAGTGGAATTTTCCCAACAATCCTGCAAAAAAAAAAAAAAAAAAAAAAAAAAAAAAAATATATATATATATATATATATATATATATATATATATATATATATATATATATATATATATATATATATATACATGTATATATATATATATATATATATATTATATAGTATAGATATATGTATATAGATATATATATATATATATATATATATATATATATATATATATATATATATATATATATATATATATATATATATATATATATATATATATATATATATATATATATATATATATATATATATATATATATATATATATATATATATATATATATATATATATATATATATATATATATATATATATATATATATATATATATATATATATATATATATATATATATATATATATATATATATATATATATATATATATATATATATATATATATATATATATATATATATATATATATATATATATATATATATATATATATATATATATATATATATATATATATATATATATATATATATATATATATATATATATATATATATATATATATATATATATATATATATATATATATATATATATATATATATATATATATATATATATATATATATATATATATATATATATATATATATATATATATATATATATATATATATATATATATATATATATATATATATATATATATATATATATATATATATATATATATATATATATATATATATATATATATATATATATATATATATATATATATATATATATATATATATATATATATATATATATATATATATATATATATATATATATATATATATATATATATATATATATATATATATATATATATATATATATATATATATATATATATATATATATATATATATATATATATATATATATATATATATATATATATATATATATATATATATATATATATATATATATATATATATATATATATATATATATATATATATATATATATATATATATATATATATATATATATATATATATATATATATATATATATATATATATATATATATATATATATATATATATATATATATATATATATATATATATATATATATATATATATATATATATATATATATATATATATATATATATATATATATATATATATATATATATATATATATATATATATATATATATATATATATATATATATATATATATATATATATATATATATATATATATATATATATATATATATATATATATATATATATATATATATATATATATATATATATATATATATATATATATATATATATATATATATATATATATATATATATATATATATATATATATATATATATATATATATATATATATATATATATATATATATATATATATATATATATATATATATATATATATATATATATATATATATATATATATATATATATATATATATATATATATATATATATATATATATATATATATATATATATATATATATATATATATATATATATATATATATATATATATATATATATATATATATATATATATATATATATATATATATATATATATATATATATATATATATATATATATATATATATATATATATATATATATATATATATATATATATATATATATATATATATATATATATATATATATATATATATATATATATATATATATATATATATATATATATATATATATATATATATATATATATATATATATATATATATATATATATATATATATATATATATATATATATATATATATATATATATATATATATATATATATATATATATATATATATATATATATATATATATATATATATATATATATATATATATATATATATATATATATATATATATATATATATATATATATATATATATATATATATATATATATATATATATATATATATATATATATATATATATATATATATATATATATATATATATATATATATATATATATATATATATATATATATATATATATATATATATATATATATATATATATATATATATATATATATATATATATATATATATATATATATATATATATATATATATATATATATATATATATATATATATATATATATATATATATATATATATATATATATATATATATATATATATATATATATATATATATATATATATATATATATATATATATATATATATATATATATATATATATATATATATATATATATATATATATATATATATATATATATATATATATATATATATATATATATATATATATATATATATATCTCCTCCTCCTCCTCCTCCTCCTCCTCCTCCTCCTCCTCCTCCTCCTCCTCCTCCTCCTCCTCCTCCTCCTCCTCCTCCTCTTCTTCTTCTTCCTTCTCCTCCTCCTCTTCCTTCTCCTCCTTCTTCTCCTTCTTCTCAGTGACCATAACTCTTTCTCTCCTGACTTCAGATGGCAAGTGGCCTCAGCTCCCGTGTGATCAGCCGAAACATCACAAGGACGATTCGCGGGCCATGGAACTTCGTTGCCGGCAAGCGTTGTCTGCCAGTCGATAGTCCTGGATCAATGAAGGTGCTTTAAGCTACTTTTTTTTTTACTCTTCTGTTTTGTTTTTCTGTACATGTATGGAGTAAGGGTATATATATGTGATATTTGGTTAATATTTTCATTTTCCTTGGTATATGTTTTTATTTTTATGTTGTTTAATTAATTTTCTTTTCTTTTTTTATGTTTTGCAATTTTGTCGGTTATTTTTTTTGTTTTTGGTATAGGACAACTTGGTTTTCCTAGACAAGGTGATGTGTTTTGAGTATTTTAAGGTGACAAATCAGCTGTTCGTTTCCATCATGGAGCACACTTTTCTGTAAGAATCCCCTCTACTGTCCAGTCCAACAGCCATGGGGGTCACATGGTACTTTAGAGTTAGGCAGTAGGGGGAAGGGTATTGTAGAATGTGCACTTGATATTGTCTATGTGTAGAAGATTTTAGAATATACAGATGTAAGGTCTTTGCACTTTTAACCCATTCGCCACACATGGCAAGAATAGATGCCATACCCACTTTGAGATACGTTTATTTATTGTATTTACACATAGATGGATCCACAAGTTCTTAATCACCAAATAGCCAGTTATCAAGAACTACCTATTTCACCTGTTTACTCTTTTCCTTCACTTTAGGAAAGGGATTTTTGTATCATTTCATTGTCTAAAATATTCTAATGGCTATTTAATAATCACAACATCAGTCATAATAATAACAGTATCGATAGCAATGCTATTAATTTTCCCGCCAATTCAATGAATGGGAAAATCAGGGTCGGTAACTAGGGCCTACTGATAGACTCCTTGCCGGCTGAGTACATGTGGAGCCATCTGTATGTAACAAAATTAAACAAAAACTACAGGGGACAGAACATAAATCCGGGGCGAATGGGTTAAGTCATAGATAGCACACTGGGTATAGTGTTACTGGAGCACCTGGTCCCGTTGATATGAAGTGCATGTTTATGGGATAGATCGTTGATGAAATTCATGGGATTGTTATATTTAGCATTCAAGTATCAATATTTCATGTGATATAGAATGAAGACTTTTATAGAGAGTGCACGCAGACTTTTTATTTTATTTTACGAAGAGTAGCACTCAACTTTTGGCCTTGGCTGGCTTGGCACATGAAAGAGGCCCAACTTGCTTTTTTGTGCTCTTGCACTTGCAATGGTAATGCTTTATCATGCCAAGATCTCTGTGAAAAGTAGCACACTTACCAGCCTGGCCAAGGGAGAGGGGAGTCCCAACCTACTCCATAAAATTAAAGTTTTATGCATGCACCGCCAAGGAAAATATTTACACATTTGGCTTGAAAATAGATATCCCCAGTGGATAATATACTCAACATTATTTCTTGAGAGCTGCACAACAAATTTTATTTTGGACAGGAGCAATGAGACATAGCTACTGAAGATGCAAGTGGATGTAGCGCAAAGTGAGCAGAGATCAGCAGGCTTTGTAACTGATGATAGGCATGCCTTTGCTTTGTCCACAATATCCTTAATAGTATTGTTATGCATGTTCTTTATGGCCATAACCTTTGCTTTCTCCTTTGTGTTTTTTTCACCCCATTAAAATTCCCTGTAGTCTTTGATCTTTTTGACTGTAATTGTCCCATTTAGATATCGCTGTGTTATTTTTGTGGTCCCTTACAGTTTATTTGCAAGAAGCATTAAACATAATTCTTTTCTTTATTCTATTGAATGGTAAGAAAGTAGAGGACCACATATCAAGCTAGAGTGTGATCCTATTTAAGGAATGCTCTTTCTTATCAAATACTTGGCTTACTAAGTAGTTAATGAAAATGAGTAGGAAGTTTGTTGAAGATAGAAGCCATAGATGAAGTGCCTGAATTCTTGGTGAATATGCCACTATAATGTATATATGTAGAACATATGGAGAGTAAACAAAAAGAGGGATATGTTTGACGAAAGTGATTCTTTTTAGGTTCTTGAGCCTGCCTCCGGAGAGCTGCTTTGCGGAGTACCCATCTCTGGAGTGGAAGAGGTCAACCGAGCTGTTGGAGTTGCTAAAGGAGTATTTGCAACGTGGAGTAAAGTATGGCTCTCCTTTTCTCTCTGTAAAACTCATTGAAATATTACTATTTCCCAATATCATTTACTACATATTTTAAAGATTTTTTTTTTTAAAGACATGTGGGAGTGAGAATTCTTTCCTCTCAGCTTTCAGGAAGAGAAAGAGGAGAAAAGCTGTTACGAGCAGGACAGATTATCAGGGAAAACCTAGAAGATATATCCAGGTTGGAGGTCAGTGCTCCGTCGGCATGGTTATGTGAAGTAATATCTTAGATGAATTATTGTTACGCGGTTGTGCACGGACCTGTTTGATGATGTCCATTTAAATTTTGCAACAGGTGCAAGACACAGGGAAACCTATTTGGGAAGCGCGTCTGGATATTACATCCTGCGCTGATGCTCTGGAGTACTATGGGGGTCTTGCTCCCTGTATTGTTGGTGGGTGACCTACTTTTCTATTTTACTGAGATGTTTTCATGGATTACATTGTGATTTATTTAGCAAGGAGAGGTTTGCTTCTCTACCCACACATACACACATGCAGTAATACACATTTGTACTTATTTATTGCTTAGTAAATGTTATAACTGGTTATGATAAGTCTTTCAGGATATTGAAATAATACATAATTTTACATAATGATAATTTTATACTTTTCTTTTTCTTCTTCTTCAGTTTTATTTAACTATATACAGGAAACCACTTATACATAAGCCACTGCTACATTGTCACTCACATTAGCTAACATGAAATCTCTCTTATAAAGGTCAGCACGTCCCATTACCCGGAGGATCCTTTGCCATGGTACAAAAGGAGCCGCTTGGAGTAATTGGAGGTGTTGGCGCATGGAATTTCCCCATGCAGACCTGCATTTGGAAGGTGATTTGTAGTTGTCTGTGTTTGCTAATGATAGTCGACCATGTTCCATCCATTCATGATTGTTCCTCTTGCTAGGTATATGTCTGGATGAGTAAGTGCTTGTGATTGATAGAGTAAGAAGCCATGTCAATGGATATTGATAGTTTATTCCATGTGAAATAGATTTGATGATTAAAATGATGTGATTTTGACATGAATCTGTATTCCTTTTAATATAAGTTCCTCTCATGTTCTTTCTTACTTTTATTTTGCAACAGTGTAAATTTAGTAGGTCTTAGAGTGTCTTAGTTGTAACTGATGACATAGAATGAATTATGTTTATCAAATATTTTTATATTTCATTTTATGGTTTATACTGTCTTATAGTTTTTCAATGTCATATCATTCCTGGTTTTTCATAATTAGTAATAATGATAATTTTTAGAATTTTTTATTTTTTTATTTTTCCAGTCATTGCTCTATTTTAGTTTTAATTTCAGCAATGCTCAACATTATCGGCGAAGAATTCACTCCTAGAAAGTCGGTTGTCTAGTCATAGGCTCAGAAAAGTGATTCAGAATAATGGTCCATTGCAGGTTGCTCCAGCTCTGGCCTGTGGGAATACTTTTGTGTACAAACCCTCGCAGTTCACGCCGGTGACAGCAGTAACCTTGGGGGAGGTCCTGGCCGATGCAGGGGTACCAGATGGAGTGTATAATGTTGTTCAGGTAAAGAGGAAATGAAAAGGACTTTTGCGCTCTCTCTCTCTCTCTCTCTCTCTCTCTCTCTCTCTCTCTCTCTCTCTCTCTCTCTCTCTCTCTCTCTCTCTCTCTCTCTCTCTCTCTCTCTCTCTCTCTTCTCTCTTTCTCTCTTTCTCTCTTTCTCTCTTTCTCTCTTTCTCTCTTTCTCTCTCTTTCTCTCGCTCTCTCTCTTTCTCTCTCTTTCTCTCTTTCTCTCTCTTTCTCTCTTTCTCTCTCTTTCTCTCTCTCTCTCTCTCTCCCCCCTCCCCCTCTCTCTCCCCCTCCCCCCTCTCTCTCCCCCTCCCTCTCTCCTCCCTCCCTCTCTCCCTCTCCCCCTCTCCCTCCCTCCATCCCTCTGTCTCTCTCTCTCTCTCCTTGTTTGATTTTGAATGATATATATTCCATTTCCAAGATGCCAACAAAAGAAAGGAAATGGAAAATGGAGATGACAGTGTTTGCCCGTTTACAGGGAGAAGGACAGACAGGAGCCTATCTGTGTGAACATCCAGATGTCGCCAAGTTATCATTCACGGGATCTGTCCCAACTGGCACAAAGGTAAGCTTTTTGTAACCATAGTATTGCAAGTGCAGATGAAAAGTTTAGAATAAAGTATCATTTGTTTAATTTTTTTCCCCTTGAATTATTTTTTATATATATTTTATTTCATTTTTTCTTGCTTGCTTGATTTAACTCTTGTTAAAATTTCATTCCTTTCATTTTTTTTTTTTTTTTTTTTTTTTTTTTTACACAAAATCATTGAAAATGAAATATAGAAAACAGAAGATATGTTGCATATATATATATATATATATATATATATATATATATATATATATATATATATATATATATATATATATATTTTTTTTTTTTTTTTTTTTTTTTTTTTTTCTTTTTTTTTTTTCTTTTTTTTTTTTTTTTTTTTTTTTTTTTCTTTTCTTTTCTTTTTTTTCCTAAGTAAAAATAATCCCAAACGAATATCTGCACATTAAAAGCATCATAATTGAGAATATATATTTAAGGTTTATTTTAATGATGGATAGTTGTAATGATAGGGTGAAAAAGAGAAGAAAAAAAATCTCCATTACATTGGAGGCTGGATCTAGGAAAAAACAGCCAATAGCATTGATTACAGATCTAGAAATGTATTTACTATATGAAGATGTAACAAAATTAAAACAAAAAAAAACATTCAAAGGAATGAAGTTCAGATATTTGAGACATGAGGTCCAGTCTTTGTTTTCATTTGTGTGTGTTTGTGCATTTGCTAAGCATCCCTCACCTCACTCATTAAATATTGCAGAACTAGCTTTTCATAAAGTTGATCTCACTAACACTTGTACTCAAAAGATATATTGCACTGTTGATTCCCCCATAGGTAATGACAGCGGGAGCACAAGACATCAAAGCCGTGACGCTGGAACTTGGAGGAAAATCGCCACTCATTATCTTCCCAGACGCTGACATGAAGAATGCGGTCAAAGCCACCCTCATGGCAAACTTCTTGTCCCAGGGTCAGGTAAGAATAACTGTACAAGGTCCTTTCCTGTCTGTACTATATGAGGGTACACACACCAAAACTGATATGGTTGATACTGGTGATATGATGCCCAGATAAGCAAAGATAGGTTTATTATTGAAAATTTTCCGCTGCGTCAATAACTAAGGTATACAGAATATAGTGATGGGGGGGGGGGTTAAAATGAAATGTACCAGGCATCAAAGGTTACACAGTAATATGATAAAGTATTGTGGCGAACAGGGTAAATATGTGTTAATGATATGGATAAGTATAAGAAGGGGATAAAGAAGAAAAGGAAAAGGAAAGAAGGAGAAGAAAAGAGCCTGCAAAATTGGTTGAGGTTGAAAGCTGAGATCCAAGGCAGGGCTGATCCCTACATTGGGTCCCAGTCTCTGCCTCCTAAGCCTCCCCACGGCAACAACGAGCAAAGGGTTGGGGGGGGGGGGGGGTAAGTAAAATAGTGATTCCATGCCTATTCAAGGGACTTTCACCTTTGATGCAGTTGTAATAATCCAATTTGCTCTCTTTCTCTTTCTCTCTTGGCTCTCCCTAATAGCAAATTGGCCTCTATGACTTGGATTTTACACTCATGCTGGTATGTCAGATAGTTCCTGAGTTTAACCTTTTCATTCACACCCAAAACAGAAGGGGGAAAACAGCCAGCCCTTTATTCAAAACTGAGGCATTATCGAGACAACTGGGCCGGAAGGAGAGACTCGCTCATTGATATGGGTCAGACTCCAGGGGTTAAGAGAACTGAATGAAGTGTTTGATTTTATCAGAGGGACTTTATATAGCTTTTTTAATATTTTCGTAGGTTTGCTCCAATGGAACCCGAGTGTTTGTCCATAGGAGTATTGCTGCAGAGTACCTCAAACAGCTGGTAACTGCAACTGAAAAGCTGAAGATTGGTGACCCCTTTGCTGAAGACACAACCGTGGGGGCAACCATCCACGAGGACCATGCCAAAAAAGTGCTGAGTTACATCGACAGTGCCAGGCAGGAGGTAAGGGCGATGAATGATGAAACATGACTGAAACTTGCTATTCTGTGTCTTAACTTTATCATGCTCATTTTAGATAGTGGCTATTTATTTACGTCTGTAAGTAAAGAAAATGTACAATTTCTTTAGGGTGCAACTGTTTTGTGTGGAGGAGAAAGGGTGTTGCTGAAAGGAAAGTTGGCTGGAGGTTGGTACCTTTCACCGGCAGTCCTTACAGATTGCCGAGACGACATGAAGGTACGTACTTCTAACTGAATCAGCAGTATATACGTAATGTGTTTTCTGTGTATGCTTGTAATATATGCTTTCTCTCTTGCTCTCTCTCTCTCCCCCCCCTCCCCCCCTCCCTCTCTCCATAGATGTGATTAGGTTAGAATATTAAGGTCACGAGAGGTTACTGCCTCAAGAATGAGATCAGTGATATTCCTTCTTCTTAAAATTCATTATGGAAAAAGGAAATTCATAACCTGCCACCACTAAAACAAATGTGAAGCACCACACACGTATCACACACACACTCATTTATCTACTCACCGATGCAAAGGAATTTCTTCTCTATTACAGGTAGTGCGAGAGGAGGTCTTTGGCTCTGTTGCATCCGTGCTAGAGTTCGACACCGAAGAAGAAGCAGTTAAGAGGGCAAACGATACCATATTCGGACTCGCTGGTGCCGTTTTCACAAAGTGAGGAAGGAACAGGTGTTGTTGAATGTGAAATTAATGCTATTATAATGTTGTTTAGGTCAACTGTGTGACTAGGTTGTGAGGAGAAAGGGGAGTTGTATTTGAGTGCTAATCACCTTGAACTTCTCTCCCACAGGGACATTCAAAGGGGACACCGAGTGGCTAATGCCATCGAAGCAGGAACAGTCTGGATCAATACCTACAACTTGTATCCAACCGAGGTTCCCTTCGGTGGCTACAAGCACAGTGGAATTGGCCGAGAAAATGGGTTAACGGCGGTTGATTATTTCACACAGACACGCACTGTCTATGTGGAGATGGGTGATGTTGATTGTGGATTACTCTACCAGGATTAGGAGATTCTAGTTTCGTTGTATGCTAATTGATTGAAAGGCCACACATATTTTGTGCAATTTTGTTATAAAATCTATATGAAATATTTTTATACTTTCATAGAGGTATATATATATATACAGTGTAGTTTAAGTTTAAGATGAAACTTGTATCTCACACTTTTTCTTCTCATTTATTTTGACTTATATTTATGTGAAAAGAAATTTTGATGTTATAAATTTAGTAATAAATCATGTGCCATATTTCAATGTAATTTACAAAAATGAAATGAGGAGGAAGCCAGGAAATCACAGCCGAGGGTAAAGCTCAGTGGTAAAGAATACACAGGAGATAGAGTTGGTGTTTCTTGATATGTAGTAAGGGAGATACATGTGAAAATATAAAACTTTAACCGAAAGTGTGTGTGTAAACGGTACTGACAGTGGGATTAAGGGTCAAAGTAGATTGCATTCATCTTTGGTCAAGTTGTGTCAGAGTGAAATGTGTTGGTGGATTTCAGTCTTGTTTGTTGCGGGTTTTCTCAGTATATTTGACATTCCCTTCCTTGTTATTTTCTTTGATATTTTAGGTAAATGTTTTGTTAACATGAAGATTCTAATAAATATTAATTTGCAGCAGTGCTTTCAGTTTCCATATATATATTTATGCAAAAGTTTACTATAGAGTGCTGTCACACTTTTAAATAATATTGTTTAAAGTTCTGTTATTCTTTTATTCTTATTAAATAAATTATATATGCTGTACATTCCCAACACTGAAATACAGAAGTTATAGACCATTCTTAAGAGAGAGGACATTTATTCAAATTTTCTCAGTGATTAAAAAGCCATAAAGGACAATAATACAGCTTGAATTACAATCTTTTGTGGACTACTTAAACATCACTTGAAAAGACCCAATCACTTAACAGATGACATGAATAAGGGCTGAACCAAAGTACACGCATGGATCTGGCATAAGGTAGTGCTACCAGAAATGACAGTGAATATCAGACACCTACATGTGTCTCCAAGAAGACGCATTTGTTTTGTTTTGGCCATTACTCAGTTAGGTAATGCCTTAATAGGTAAAATTGGTTTGCTCTGCCTGTAGTTTCCTCACATGGTGTCATCTCTGCCTGTGCTCATCTTGGATTGTAATTTGTGTTTACCTGCACAGTCACTGCCCCTTGAGTGGACTTGGGCTTAAAGAAGTATATTTCCTTAGATTCATCATTCCAGTTAGGACCCAAGCCTCAGTAGATTTGTGCAAATCATTTGCAGAATTTTTTCCCCCTAAAATCAATTTATAACATATTTGGTCACTCCTGTTCTTAGATATGCTGAGCATAGCCTATTCTAAAACACTTTGAAGACTGGTTTTGGTTCACTGATACCATTAACTGGAAAACTTTTATTGAAAACTTCAGTCTGATTTTAACAAATAATCAAATATTTCAATTTTTATAACCTGCTTTCTGCTGCAATAAACAACAATTATTCTAGATTTTTAAAAATAATCTGGCACAAATAAAACATCATGTTGGTTGAAATGTTTTTACCCATTATTTTTCTTACATAAAATTAAGATGAGGTTTAATATATATTTAATACAAACAAAATTCCTATACTTGTGTAAAGATATACATTGCTATGAGGTTTTCAAATCACAAACCGCACAAAAACCTAACAAACAAAAACTGCATTATGTATACTCAGATAATTTTCATAACTTCACTTTCTACCATTCACATGAAGGAATATCAAGAACCACTAACATTTACCATCTCAACATAAGCCATATTTAGAATTCACTTCAATCAAGACATAACAAAACTTTCTTCTTTTGGGTAATGAAATCAAGTGCTACATACAGTCAATAGAAATACTTTTTATTTCAAAATACAGAACAAGACAAGGAGTGATTCTCATATATAGGCCATTTGCCTGCATCCCTAAATGTAAAGACTGAAAGGTGAGCACTAATGAGTCATGTACAAAAATAAAGCACATAATTCCCTTGATACAACCAGCTGCAGTACTGTGTATTCCTTTTATTTTGGCTGTACTGAGTTCATTCACCCTTCATGTCTATATATATACACACACTTGATATTCTTTCACGGTAAGTACAACCATTATGAGTCCTTGGTTTCTGCCAGTCCTTCTCTACATTCTAAAATTTTGATCATAAAATAAAAATAAATAGAAAAAAGAAATTTAAACAATAAAAAAATAAAATTGAAAAAAAATATCTGAGACCATGCAAATGAAAGAAAATATTTTTTTTTCTGATACGAAAGCAACTTGAGGCCTTTCACGCTAATGTAACCCCTTTTGGCTCTCAGAAAACAGATGATATATGAGAAAATATGAACATGAAAAATACATAAATACTATATTTACAAGACAATACAGATATTATGTGCACATAAGTTATGTTGACGGTATAGGGGAGCGTACTTTCCAGATATGAATATTACTGCTCAAAGGATTACAAATACAAGTTTCATTTTCTCTTACTAACTTTCCATTATTATCTAAGGGTGTCTATATATATCAGATAAGCTAGAATTCAATGTAAATATTTTACTAGAATGGAAATATACATACAACTGCTGTAATCAATGACTGATCAAGACACCTTTTTTTTCTTTCATATTTCACTTTTCTAAGAAACCAATTTTAATCAAGAAAGACACTCATAAGCCAAAACTCAAAACACATATGCGCGAATGTACACACTCATATACACATTCACACATTTCTGCCTTCTTGCTTGCTTGCTCACTCACTCGTTCATGTTCAAACATACACACATTCAACTTGCAGTCACCCCTGCACGTATACACTCACTCACACACTGACTCGCCCACTTACTCTCCCTCTCTCATGCATTACATGCGCATATACAGATGCATGTCAACAAAAAACACATGACTATTAAAGTATTACCTTTCATATCACGAACATGCAGACACTTATATATAAAACTTTAAGATTTGGTAAGGAAAGAAAGAAAGAAAAAGAAAAAAAAGTGCTCCTTTGTATATCTTCAAAGTCTTTCTATTTGAAGGAATTTAAAGTTTGTGCATGAGTATGCTTCAATTGCCTATAACAATCCTTCACAGAACACTATAAGGATTAGCTTATTTTCCTATAGGTAGTTAAATGACGAAGCTTTCTATATAGCTTCATTTAGAACTAAATAAACTGACAGAAAATAATAAATACTAAGGCTGAGAAAAAAGCATTCATATTGTTTATATTTTCTTTTTTCTTTTCCTTTTTTTTTATAACCTGCTGATTTTCACATTTTCGGTTTATAACACTTCCAAAACCTAAAACTAACACTCCTTTATTCCAGCACAGTAAGGCTTCTTGTATATACACATACATACACGTATTTCACTAAATTATTGTAAGGATTACAGAGCCATATTCCGCCCCTCAATACTGATTGCAACCGCTCGGCGAGCTTTCGATAGTCTTTTTCTCTCCTGGAAAGCTCGCATCTGCTTGTCTAGCCTGGTAATCTCTTTCTTACTTGTCTGAAAGTAATCAGAAAGAAGTTACTATTCAATACACAATAAAATAACAGACTGCCATATTAAGGGACAATAATTCAGCACCAATTAACTTCTCTGAACAGATGGCAGTACTTTTGTCAATTGCTCAGATGAGAAGGGACAGTCATGAAAGAAAGGCACTCTGTCCTGTCCTGCCATTTAATAAAATATGCTTTTTAACTGTATTCTTAAATTTGAAAATCTGCAAAAATTATACTAAATATACTAAGACTGATTTTCACTTCCTCAATTTTTTATACATTTTGATAGCGGCATACTTAACTACAGCAAATCTGCTTTGAAAAATAAAGAACAGTAATTTGAAATCCTGATATTTAGCTATGCAAATTTTCCCTTCAGCATTCCGTTCTATGGTAGAATCTACAATAAACTACCCTAACTACACTATCCTTCACCTTTATCTATACCAAGCATAACTTACTCTGTTGAGATCAACTTCTGTCTGCCACTTTGGACGGTTGACGTAATCTTTGGCTGAGGGGCGAGGGACACGCGCTCTGTAGCACCACCCGGGGTCACCTGGTCGCAGTGGTCGTCTGGAATTTCATAAAGGATTTAGTTTTGAAATCGTAGCGCAAATTAAACTGATTATTCCAGCACCAGTCATTGATTTTTTTTTTTTAATGGGAGTTCTGTCATGCAACTTACAATGTGACTCTATAGCAAATACTATACATTGCAGTGATCAGCCAAACAGACCAGAGAGAATGTATGTAATTCAATCTTTGAGTGAAGGGACACTACTTTTCTAACAGCTGTTTGTCTGTATTCAACTTACCCTGACTCATCTGTCTGAATATCCTGTTGGTCTTTTCTGCTACTGCTGCCTTGTGACTGCTGCTGTTCAAGATCTCTCTCTAGACGCTCTTCTCTTGACAGAGCTGTAAATATGGAAAAACGTCAGCCAAGATGAACAAGGCATATGAAAGTATTAAAACCCTGTTAACCCTTTGGCAATCGCAAAGTCAAAAGGAAATATTTTCAAGAGTATTCTGTTTTCAAGTTGTGTGCCTTTCTATAACAATGAACATAAGAATTATATAAATATGGAGGGGGGGGGGGAAATGAAAAAAAAAAATAATAAAAAAATAAAATAAAAAATTAATTAAATTAAATTAAATTAAAAAAATAAATAAATAATAATAATAATAATATTAATAATAATAACAATAATAATAATAATAATGATATGGAATAAAGGGTATCTGCAATCTGGCATCAGTTGCTAGCCAGTGTTTGATACACAAGTGCTTCTTAAATACCAGAACACTAGTTACCTGAACTTTCTTGTCACCAAAAACTTATCAATATCCTTCCAATATCACTACCTATTCATGCCTCATAATTCCTCACTTTCCTTCCTTGGTTTCCATAATAACTTAGTAAGTCCAAAGTGACATCACACCCAATTGGGAGAATTTGCTGGGGCTTATGTTGGTAACCATGATTATTATCCTAAAGAAGTATATTTGCAATTTAGTCTTGGAAGTAGGGAAAAAAAAAAGATCATATCCTGGCAATATAGTCTGCCACAGGGCTGACAAAGAACCTTCTGCTGCTTGTGGAAATACTAAAGCATACTAGTAACATTTTCTTAAGAGAGGTGAAGAAATGAAGAAAGTTCATGGGTGAAAAGCAAAACACAAGGCCAGATTCTGAAGCAAGAAGAAGAAGAAGAAGAAGAAGAAGAAGAAGAAGAAGAAGAGGAAGAGGAAGAGGAAGAGGAAGAGGAAGAAGAAGAAGAAGAAGAAGAAGAAGAAGAAGCAGCAAGAAGAAGAAGAAGAAGAAGAAGAAGAAGAAGAAGAAGAAGAAGAAGCAAGAAGAAGAAGAAGAAGAAGAAGAAGAAAAGACTAGAATAATCTGACGCCATACATCTGCACTCGCCCACAGACTGATTCTACATTCCACGAGGATACACTTACATTTGAAGTCATCGGACACGTTAAATATTGGGCGCGACCACATGGAAATGAGTCTCCCGCACCGACTCCTGATTGTCTTCAACTCTTTGGGGTGTTTATAGAGATACATAATAGCTTTCCCAATGCCTGAGGTCTTCAACATATCTTGGGATAGAGGTGGTAACTGCAAAAATACAAAATTGGCCGGTCAAAACAATATACCCTCAAGATGATCATAAGAGTAATGATGATGACTTATGCATCACACAAATCTGCATGTGTGTTCTATGGTTGTTGTGCACATGTGGATACTTATGGATGTGTGTGTCCTTGCATGCCTATGTGTGTGTCCACATGTGTATGGCAATCTGGGCATATATGTGACCACAACCATGTCCTACACCTATTACATACCGACAGCAACCACTTCGTGACAGCGTCCCTGATCTTAACAGCAGGAAGTGACCGGTCTGGCATGGGAGCCAACCAGTCTGTCAGGGCTGAGAGCACATTGGCATCTAAGAAGCCCTCAATCAGGTTCTGTTTATTGATCTGACTCATGGCAAGTTCCAGCATTGCAGATTTTTTGGTTGCAGGCAGTCGCTTGGCATTCAGCTGACGGTCCTCATCAGCAGCTTCTCGCATCTGGATGAGGGAGAGGGAGCAACTATAAGCGCAAGGCAATATTGTCCAAACCATTCAGAATGGCTGAACATACAGCTGGGAATCTTTTTACAGCAAAGAGGCTATTTTAAACAGTATATCAGCAGATCAGTTTTGCACCACTATGGATAATTGTAAAAAAAAAAAAAAAAAAAAAAAAAAACACAGACATTCAGCATTCAAAATTTTAACCTTTAATGGCAACACTAATGGCGACAATAGTAACCATATGATAATTAAAGAATCTTACCTTCCTAACAATAATGGCTATATGTTCCTCATTGTCATTAATAATATCTACATTATTTTTTCTTCTCCTGTGCCTTCCTGCCTCTTCCTTCTTCTTGGCCAACATGGCTTCGAAATCATTGACGAACTCTTCCTCCTGGTTTCTCAGCTGATTCCGAATGGCTTCATCTTCACTGTCTGACAGCTGGGGCAATGCCTATTCCAAAGCAAAGATGATAATTCACTAGCAAAATCAACAAAGAGTATAAGTATGAAGATATCATTTACTACATATTCATATATATAAACAGCCACATGAATACAGGAATGCATACATACATCCAGAGATTCACATCCATGTACGTATGCATATCAACCATAAGCTCGACGATATTCTCACTTACCTCGGCATTTTGTTCGCCTTCTGGCTCTCTGTTGGGTGCTGGGCTTCCTGCTCTACTGCCGGCCTCATCATTCTCATTCACTTTAGCCTTCTTTGCAACGTTTTTCTACAGATAACAGGAAAGCATTATTGGCTGAAGTTCTATTTCTGCAGCTTCATGCTAGTACTTAAATCCTAAGAGCTCCTGAAGCTGGTGAAAAGCATGCTAATTCTAAATGGCTACATGCCCAATGAACTACCTGCACAGATTTAGAGCCCTCAAAAAGATCAGTATCATAAACCATCCACTGTTAGGGCTGTGGCAAATGATCTGTGGACTAAATAGTTCTCAAGACATACTTGTCGAAGGAAGAAGTCCTACGGCCTTCAAAAAACTAGCCAAAAACTGTGTGAATGCAGATGCCTGGCAACCAAATCATTGAACTAGCAGATACTACACACACACACACACACACACACACACACACACACACACACACACACACACACACACACACACACACACACACACACACACACTCACACACTCAAACTCACATGCACACTCACACTCACATGCACACTCACACTCACATGCACACTCACACTCACATGCACACTCACACTCACATGCACACTCACACTCACATGCACACTCACACTCACATGCACACTCACACTCACATGCACACTCACACTCACATGCACACTCACACTCACATGCACACTCACACTCACATGCACACTCACACTCACACGCACACTCACACTCACATGCACACTCACACTCACATGCACACTCACACTCACATGCACACTCACACTCACATGCACACTCACACTCACATGCACACTCACTCACATGCACACTCACACTCACATGCACACTCACACTCACATGCACACTCACACTCACATGCACACTCACACTCACATGCACACTCACACTCACACTCACTCTCACACTCACATTTGCTGCCACAGCTATACCCATAACCAGGCGCTCACATGCACGCACCCCCCTCCCCCAAACACACACACACGCACTTCTCTCTCCCACACACACAAGACTTCTCTCACTCTCCCCCTCACCTTTTACATTCTCACTCCCTCTCACACACTTTGCCCGGCTCTATGACACTCTCTCCCAACACTGAAGACGTATCATGAGAACCACAAATACAGAACCACCATCGGTCAAAGCGACACAGAGCTCTGCCTTCAACTCACATCGTCCGGGCCCGAGTCGCTGTCGCTGCCGCTGAGGACATTCTTCTTCTTCCCCTTCGGCTTCTTGCTCGACTTCGGAACGTCATCGTCGGAGTCGCTCCCCGGCCCGCTGCCCCCCCCGCTCCCGCTCGCCTTCCTCTTGCGCTTAACCTTCCGAAGTGATTAAGAGCCTCAATTAAGGGATATACAGCGTGGGAGCATACAGAGTAGCTGAGGGTTGTTTATGATGATGGTTTAAAAATACAGGTCAAGATAATATTAACCTGGAAAATGATCAAGAACTTATGCATGGATGGTTAGTGCACTTCACTGAGATGTTAAATGTGTTATATGACCTAACCAGCTATAAAAGGCATATACAGGGGATCACGGTTATTTTTTGTCATTATTTATCTTTTCATTCTTTCATCACTGTTGTTCTGTGGGTACATCATTGGTCACATTTCACTCTCTTGTCAGTAGGGTTCTGAGAGTTTATGCACAGACCTTCCCAAAACACAGAAGAAGAAAAAGAAAAAGAAAAAAAGGAAGATGACACAATGTGAAATTACGAACAAGAACTTCAATATACATGAGTAATCCATGTCTACTGTCCAGCCAAATAAACAGGATGATATCACCAAAAGCTACAAGCTGATGACCCTTCTTTTTTTTCTTTTTTCTTTTTTTTTTCATATCGAACATGGAATGCAAGACGACCCTCACCCACCCACCCCAACTACTCCAGATTGCTTCACAAGTAACCCACTTGAAAATGATGAGACAGCTGATGATCCTCTCTCATCTACCTGTGCAAACCCAGACCCTCACTCCCCACCTGTGACTGGAAGTGACCCCTCCAAATTCGTGTCTGTATGTAATAATTCCATCAATTTCACAATAGCTGAAGTTTGCATTTCTATTTTGTAATAACTTTTCTGTGATAAAAAAACAGGTATTATTACTCTTTTAAGCAATATTTTATGAATATCCACAAACTAAGCTTGAGCAAACTATTGAATTTTAGTCCTCGTTCATATTACATCCTTTTATAGTATATTCCTAAAAGATATTACATATAGCAATTCTCTAAATCATTGTTAATCATATTTTTCTGATCCATTTTTGTAACAAACAGCAGGGATCCTCTGTACTAATAAATCTATTCATTTTGGAAACAATAAGTAAAATGATACTGTAAAGAACTGTGGCGATGCTAACACTGAAATAAGTGAGCTTTCTAAACTTTGAGATAGCATGAGAATATTTATCAAAGATACAGAATCAAGCACTCACTTTCTTCCGCCTTCCTTTCTCAGACCCCGAGTCAGAATCGGAGTCGGACAGCACCCTCCTGCGCTTTTTGGGGGACCCTGAATCTGACCCACTTCTTGATCTCGATCTTGAACGGCTGCTGCCACTTCTGCCAAGAGCAAAGGTGAAAATCAGTGATGTTTAATAAGCATTCAAAGATGTAAATTACCCACTAAGCACTGTAGTTCTTTCAAAGTTCCCACGTTAGTCTTTATATTCATGAACTGTTACTGGTTTCTTTCCAAAACAATACCATAAATTGTGTATAATCTATCAAGTATTTTTTGAGCAACATGCTTTGCCACTTCTGCCAAGAGCAAAGGTGAAAATCAGTGATGTTTAATAAGCATTCAAAGATGTACTGTTACTGGTTTCTTTCCAAAACAATACCATAAATTGTGTATAATCTATCAAGTATTTTTTGAGCAACAAGAGCGGCAGACTTAAACCCCGATTGTTAATCCCAGAGTCCCCACTGAGCAATCAACCCAAAACCCCTACATACCTTGCCCTGCTCCTTGATCGTGACCTGCTCCCTGATTTACTTCTTGACCTTGACCTTGACCTTGATCTGCTGCCTGACTTGGCTCTTGACCCTGACCTGGACCTGGACCTGGACCTACTTCCAGACTTGCTTCTTGATCTCGACCTGCTTCCGGATTTCCCTCTTGATCGTGAGCGCGAGCTTCCAGACTTGCTCCTGGATCGGGATCTGCTTCCAGACTTGCCTCTGGAGCGCGATCGAGACCTGCTGCCGGACTTGCTTCTGGACCTCGACCGCGACCTGCTTCTGCTCCTAGACCTCGACGCGCTCCCTGACTTGCTTCTGGAACGTGACCTGCTTCCCGATCGGGATCTGCTCTTCGACTTCCTTTTGGCGGGGGAGCCACTGCGAGACCTACTGCCCGATTTACTCCGAGAACGAGACCTAGACCCACTACCAGCTCTACTTCCAGATCGTGACCTACTTCTTGAGCCACTCCTGGATTTACTGCGAGACCTACTGCGGGACCTACTGCCCGCCCGACTCCCCGATTTACTCCGTGACCGAGATCTGCTTCTAGAGCCACTGCCCGCTCGGCTTCCGGACTTACTACGGGAACGGGATCTACTACTAGCGCGGCTTCCTGACTTGCTCCGAGAACCAGATCGGGATCGACTGCGGGAGCCGCTGGCAGCTCTGCTTCCAGACTTGCTGCGGGACCGCGACCTACTGCGTGAACGACTACCCCCCTTGTTTCCACCCTCTCCTTCGGAGTCTGAGCCTCCAAAAACTTCATTTGTAATTTGCTGTTTCTGATCATCACTTCCTGCAGGAGACTTGGGGCCGTTCTTGCTTGGACTCGCTTCCTCATCATCGCTGTCCATAACAGAGCGCCTCTCCTCTACTTCACTGTCACTTCCACCACCAGATCTGGAAAGATTAAAACAGTCAACATCATATCTCAAAAACATTATCTTTTAAAGTATAACATCAAGAACTATTAACGTGAAATCTTTACAAATGAGCTATGAAAATAGACACACGTCTGTCCTTGATGAACTTGTATCTACACCAGCTTGCTATCAGAACTAAATACCTCTGGTCGGCTTCATCGTCAGTGTTGTTTCCACGGCTACTGCCACTTGATCTGCGCGAGGCTCTTGACGAGGCCCGTGATGCCCTCGAGGCCCTAGATGCCCGAGATGCCCTAGACGTCCGTGATGCAGCGGATTTAACCGACTCATTGTCCGAGTCAGGCCTTGCAGCAGCTGGACTTCCTCCTTCATCCTCTGCAACAGAAAATAGTGGATCTCTACCTCATTTCACATGACCATTCCATTAAACAACTTTGTTTACTTTTCCTTTTCAATTACCTTTACATATAACTTACCATGAGATGAAGATTATCATATTAGAGACAACATATAACACCTGCAGTTCTTATTTTGTAAATTTCCAGTTAAAAGCCTACAGATTTACTCCTACAAAAAAAATACAGAAAGTCCCCAACTTAAGAACATAATGGGGACTGAGAGACTGTTTGTAAGTTGATTTGTTTGTATGTTGAAAGTCGGGTCTCCATTACCTTTTTTCCCATTGTTTTAAAGTTTTATTTACATTAAGAATACCTGTAAATAAATCCCAATAAGTATGACATACCTTATACAGTACCAGACTCTTGAATTATATTCGTGCCCGGGAAATTTGAAGTTTGCTAGCATCTTTCAAACAATTTTTTGGACTTTAGTACTTAAAAAATTTTGTTTGTATGTATGGAATGTTCATAAGTAGAATGTTCTTAAGTAGAGGACTATCTGTAGATACAGATATGTTCCATAAGACAATATGTATGAATGTTGCATATATTTTTGTCTATTACTACATCAGTGGATTCATCTGTGTTAGAAGTAAGTAACATATAAAAAGGCAAAAGTTCAATCTTTTTTATCTTCCACCTAAAGTTATTAGAGATCTATATTAAAATTAACAATAAGTAGGCTTGTACATTTCATATTATAAACCTTTGTAGCATGTACTGCAGTACAAAGACATGACATGATTTTTCAGAAAAAAAATT